CAGAAAAGATGTTAGAAAATTGCATCTCTGCTAGAAAATTGGCTATTTAAAAAGTGAGTTCTGTGACAGAGACAAAGAATCACTGAAGATGACAAGGGGGGACATGGGTCTCACTGGGACTTGAACTTTCTGGTCCTAGCATGTAACTCACATTAGTAGGCAGTTAATAAAGAGACCTTCAACAGGCTTCTGGGGTGTGGCTAAGTGTTACAGTGCTTGTCCATCATACCCAAGGCCCTGGAGTTCATGGGAGAAGGGAAGAAGAGAAAAAGAAGTGGAGAAAGGGGAGAGAGAGGGGAGAAGGCAGAAGGGCTCAGAGGGAGAGAGAAGGCCAGTCATCCTAGAGAAAACAGCAGCTTCCTGTACAGCGAGAGACCCTGTCGCAAAGGAAGAGGGCAGGGAACAACAGGGGAAGATTTCTGACATCTTCTTCTGGTCTCTGCACACACTCACAGGTGCATAACCCCCCCCCTCCCCCCCCCCTCTCTCTCTCTCTCACACACACACACACACACACACACAGTGGTGGCTCTTTCTCTCTCTCTCTCTCATATACACACACACAGCGGTGGCTCTCTCTCTCTCTCTCTCTCTCTCTCTCTCTCTCTCTCTCTCTCTCTCTCTCACACACACACACACACACAGTGGTGGTTTGAAAGAAAATGGCCTTCAAAGGAAGTGGCACTATTAGGAGGTGTGGCCTTGTTGGTATGGTATGTTTGTAGGTGTGGCCTTGTTGGAGGAAGCATGTCAGTGTAGGGCAGGCTTTGAGGTTTCCTATGCTCAGAATACCACCCAGTGTCTCAGTTATATACTTCCTGTTGCCATCAAGATGTAGGACTCTTAGCTACTGCTCTTGCACCATGTCTGCCACGCTCCCTGCCATGACGATAAAGGACTGAACCTCTGAACTCTAAGCAGACACTTCGATTAAATGTTTTCCTTTATAAGAGTTGCCATTGTTGTAGTGTCTCTTCACAAGTACACACACACACACTGAATGAATGAATAAATAAATAAATAAATAAATAAATAAATAAATAAATGACAGCTCACTTATGTAAAATGGTCTTTTTTTCTCTTTGGGATTTTTCCCCCTACTTTCTTATTTTGCTCTGCAAGATTCACCTAATTGACTTTTTTCTTCCTCCAATGAGTCTAAAAAATTCTCTGAGAAAACTCACTGTGAAGCAGATCCAGCCCTGTCCTACTGCAATGGCAGACACGAATTATGAACCGTGTGGCAGGCAAAAGGCCAAGGGCCTCTGGAGGCCTGTATGGACCCCAAGGACAGTGACCATAAAAACAACTTTGCATGAAGCCTGTTCCCTGGCCAAAGGGACATTATCAGAGGATAAGAAAGCCATATGCAACTGTTACGTAAATATCTGAGCTGTAGGTAACATCTGAGAGGTACCCAGACCCTGACGGTCTGCGTGATAAACCTCCTGTGGACCTCCGTGTCAGAGACTGAAAAACTCTGACAAACAATGGGCTTTAAAGGCAATAGGCATCAGATGTTAAAAGAAAAAAATAGAGCAAAATGAACACAGAAGAGTGAAAAGACAATGCCTTCAAGTCTCTGTTGAACTGATTACATTTTCTATATAGGTGCTCATTAGAAAAAAACACACACACACACAATCCCAAAGATGACTTCCATTTGTAGTCATACATAACTGCAGAGGGGGCAATGCAGGGGTGTGGAACAGCACCCAGGGTCAGGAGACAGTGCAGGGGTGTGGAACAGCACCCAGGGTCAGGAGACAGTGCAGGGGTGTGGAACAGCACCCAGGGTCAGGACTGTAGGCACACACGCTGGGCTTGCAGCTCCCCAAGCCTTGCTTTTCTCATTTGTAAAATGCCAGTGAGAACATGCTGGCTTGTCAATAGAAGACCCACAGGTACGAACCGTGCCTGATATTTTAAATTAGAAATAACAAAGCAGGTAAAAGTAAATTTAACAACACACTTTCTTTTGCCCGATTATCCAAAATATTATTATTTCAATTTTAACCAATATAAAAGTATAAGCTTTCTTAAAATTCTCTCTCTCTCTCTCTCTCTCTCTCTCTCTCTCTCTCTCTCTCTTTGTGCTGAGACTCTGAAAAATGTTGTGTGCTTTAAACACACAATCCTGTTCCTTCAGACAAGTGACACTGTGAGGTCAACAGTCCCAGGTGGCTGCCACACTATCCTGGACATACCTAGAGACAGTGAATGAGGCTTCCTGTGGGCTCACTAACTCCACACAGCACTGTCTGTCAGATAGGCCCTGGGAGACATAGGAAAGGTATTTTTTAAGTCAATGCATTAAAAAAATATATAGTTTGGTATAGTATATGACATAATGCAATATACAAGAATTCAAAATATCTAGTGACTAGATCAATTATTTGTTCAAAAGATGAGTGACCAAAAATGATCACAATAGGTCACTAGTATTCATTTATTCTATATTTAATTTTAAAGGTTTATTTTACACACATACACACACACACACACACACACACACACCACTTCATGTCTGGTGCATATGAATGCCGGAAGAGGGTGTTGGGTCCCCTGAAACTACAGTTACACAGTTGTGATCTGCCATGTGGGTGCTGGGAATTGAACCTGGGATTTCTAGAAAAGCAGCCAATGCACTTAGTTGCTGAGCCATCTAGTCTACATTCATTTTTGTGGTTTCTTTATTAGCGTTTGAGTATGTTAATTTGATACAGAACATATTTTTGTGTAGTGATCCAGCCATCTGCTTTTAGTGTCAACACCCCCCTGACACACACACACACACACACACACACACACACACACACACAGTTTCTCTGTGTACCCCAGGCTATCCTGGAACTCGTGTTATTCTTTCTAAGGTGCTGTCCCACTTGTTTTTTCGAGAGAGTCTCACTGGCTTGGAGCTTGGGTTGACTGGCCAGTGAGCTCCAGGAAAAATCCAGTCCCTGCTTCCAAGGATTACACACATACCACTACATCCAGCTTTTTAAATGGGCTCTGGGGAATCAAACTTAGGTGATAATGTTTGTACAACACACACTTTACTGAGCTAGCTCCTTAGCTTAAGTATAATATCCTTTAAAAAGAGAACATAAATTCTGATATAACTATAAGCACACAGCTAAGAAACAGCAATAAACCATTTTTAAAAAAATACTGTAAAACCTTCCTTTTTATAGGGCATACTATTGGTAGGTCATGTTATAGTTTTAATAGCTCTAACTTTTTTCTCATAAAAATTTAAGAACTAGACATTTATCATGACAGCTAATTATGTACAATTAAGTATAGCATTATATTTAATGTATTGCTACATTTAGTTTTAAACTATTCACCAGGATTATCATCAAGTACTACTTGAATTACATGATTATAATTCTGAGTAGTATACAGTAGGCAAGCTCTGTGTGTGTCAGGAGGTGTGTGGTGTACAAACGTGTGCAAGTGTGCTCACCAATGCAGGAGTGCAGAGGTCAGAGGCTGGTGCCAGGATGCCTTCCTCCATGTTTCCATTTTTTAAAACTTTTTAAAAGACAGGGTCTTTCACTGAACCTGCAGCTAACGGTTTCGGTTAAACTGAATGGGCATAAGACTCAGGACCTGCCTGTCTCTGTCCCCAGCACTAGGGCTAGACACATGCCATCATACTAACCTATTATTTGGGTACATGGGACTCAGGTCCTATGCATGCAAAGTAAACACTTTAAACACCAAGCCATCTCCCCAAGCCTTTTGTATTTGTGTGTATGTGTGTATCTACACATGCACATCTGTGTGAGGGCCAGAGGTTGACAAGAGATGTCTTTGTCACTCTCCACTTTTTTTCCTCATTATTTATTTGCTGGAGAGGGGTAGCATGTGACACTGTGGTGTGTGTGTGTGTGTGTGTGTGTAGGTCAGAAGACAACTTGTGGGAGCCTTTATGTGGATTCCAGGGATCAAACTTATGCCGTCAGGCTTGGCAGCAAAGGTCTTTGCCTGCTGAATCATTTTGTTAGCTGCCTTAGTTGAGACAGGGTCTCTCACTGAACCTGGAGCTCCCGGTTTCAGCTAGCCTGGCAGACCATCAAGTTCTAGAGACCCACCTGACTTTGCCTCTCAGCACTGGAATTAGAAATGTACACAGCCACCCCTGGCTCTGTGTGTGCGCACACGTGCGTGTGTGAGAGAAAGAGAGAGAGGGAGAGAGTGGAGGAGGGAGGGAGGGAGAGAGGGAAGGAGGGAAGACTCAGGTCCTCATGTCACAAGCTCTTTACCTATTGAACCATTTCCCTAGTACCAACTTCCTATATCTTAAACTCAAAGAGTACAAACCATTAATTAGATTGCAAAGTCTCTTTGAAACTTACCCACCAAGTCAAAGAGCACACACATACTCACCTTTCAAGCAGTATGGTCCTATGGTGAAGATGCCCTTGAAGCTGACAGCTTCATTACTCTTTCTCTGGTCAAACACAGGTGTCAGATGAGACATAAGAGAGAAATGAGGACAGAATACTATACAAGCACCTGCCACTTCATCTCAAGTATACCAATGACCTACTGCAATTTCACCATTACAAATGATTGAGAGACTCAAAAAGGCCAAAATTCTTTGGCCTTTTTGATGATTACATATTCAAAAACACAGATCCGTTCCCTTAATCACTCTTCACTGTGATTGGTCAGAGGTGGTACACAAGGGGAAACTGCCACTAACCAAATCACGAATTATGTGTTCAGTGACGCCACCCATGTGTTCCTCTCCTGTCTCCTGAACAAGAATTAAAATCAATGACTAGTTCATTCTACAGGCAGCAGAGCTACTCATGAAAGGGCTTAAGGAAATTCTCACTTGAACTTCCAAGAAAAGAGCCACTTCCAAGCTAATAAATAAATGCTAAAGCCCCATTTGTTGATACTAAGTGCAAAACACAAGGACACTGTAACTTTTGACATTTGGCCAAACTTCACAAGTATGACCACCACTGAATTAAGAGACTCACATGTGGCATTTCTGTAGAGAAGGAAAGGGTCCTGGAGCTGGAAGTCCAGGTCTTTAGTAATAGGTTCTGTTCTGTTTTCCATGCTGAGCCTATTCATAATGGTGAATCCATGCTTTGGAGAGGCAGACCTGGAAATCACGGAGCAGGGGAAAGACACATTGCTAAGCATTGCATACCTGCAGTGTAGCCACATTCTGTCCTGCCTATTAACTTCACAGTGTACTTCCATTTTCCTACAAGCAGTCTGTACACATAGGAAGCAGCATTTCTTTACTCCTGAGATCATCTACCAACATCTGTGTAGCACAGACTTCTTTTAAGGTCACTGTTTTTAACTGTAAGTGGGGCTGTGCAGATATTGTGTGTTTATTTTATCTCCATGCTTATGTTGTACATTCCTTTAAGACAAAGATGGCAAGGGCTTTAAAAAATCTTGCTGGCAGGGGCTGGAGAGGTGGCTTAGCGGTTACGAGCACTGACTGCTCTTCTAGAGGTCCTAGCTCAATTCCCAGAAACCACAAGGTGGCTCACAACCATCTGTAATGGGATCTAATTCTCTCTTCTGGTGTGCATGAAGACAGAGCGCTCAAATACATAAAATACATGAATAAAAAATCTTACTGGCAGATATTTTTTAAAAGGTTTCAGAGTTAAAAGTGTATACATCATTACAAAAAGATAATTTTCACTGGAAGGAAATCGAGAATTTCAGGAAAATGAGGCAACTCTGTTAACGAACCTGTGAGATGAGGTACAAACTAAGGCCGTGTATTAATAGTCCAGAGGACAGATGCTTCTGTCTCTAATATAAAGCAAACCGCTTTCTGGACAAGCTACTATAAAACTTTTCTCAGTAAAAAAGTGACCTTTAGTGAGTTTCATTTTTCATTCCATTCAATAAATCTTGAATACCCCATCTGTCAGGCTCAGGGACCCACATTATATACAGTGTAAACTAACAATCATGTGTACATTTGCCTGTGCTGAGGTGACAGCCACATCGTAATTCAACCAAGAAACTTCCAGTGTCACATAAGTACAACATCCACATTTAACAGAAGTGAGCAGCATTCATCCATTCACCCATCCATCCATCCATCCATCCATCCATCCATCCATCCATCCATCCATCCATTCAAGTTAAGCTAGGCTACTGGGGTTATCAATAACAAACAGGAAGAAAATTACTTTTATTTTACTCTTAACTACTTTATACTGATAAATACAGCATTGCTACTTTGCCACTTAGAGGGTTTTATTTTTAAAGCTCCAACCTTTAAATTGATGGAAGACAATCTTTGATGAGCTTATTCCACAAAGAGGCAAAGCACTGACAGGCATAGCCTCAATTCCCAAAACAGTCTTTTCTATTTAAACTCAAGAGGAGAAGAAAAGACACTCCTCAGAAATGCCAGTGACTGTGTCTCCATGAACTCCACCACAAATAGGAAAACATGGGAAGGCAGAAGAAATAATTCTTGACACAGAATGGGATATCTTCATGCATTTTGATAGCATAACATCTTATGGCATAAATGGCATGGGACTATACCAGTTTATGCAACAGGTCCAGAAACAAAGATGCCAGGTGCACTAAAATACTTCTGAAAGAGAGGTAAAGGTGCACCATAGACAGTCCTATTACCTTAACTTGAACGTTGTCATTCAACACTGAGAAAAAGACCTCACCAGACCGGGCACACTTGTCTATGTGGGAAGGGCAGGTATACATGTGGGAAGGGGCGGAAACAGCAGATGTCATCTCAATGAGATAATTTGGGGGAATGGGATTAAGAAACAGGGAAGGATTAGTTTTCTCAGTTTAACAGTGTAACTGATCATTCCATTAGCAATGTGGAATATATTAAGAAGTCCTTGAGTGTTGATTGCAGTTCAGTTGAAGAGTAGTGGCCTAGTAAGCATAAAAGTCCTGGGTTCCATCTCCAGTATTACATAAAACTGGCCCATGGTTGTCATTCTAGTACTTGGGAGGAACAGAAAGAAGTTCAAAGCTATCCTTTGCTACATGGTTAGTTTGAGGTCAACTTAGTCTACATGAGACACGATCTCAAAAATAAGGTAAAATACCTGAAAATACAAAGATATATTTGGTTTGGGTGCAAAAGAGAAAATATATAATTCAGCAGAAAAGTCCTTAAAACCATCATTAATATATATTAAAACATCTCTCTCATCAAAATGATCCTTCTTAGAAATGAGAAAGAATATATACTGTGCTTTAGTTTTTCTCTTTACATTCTCGAGTACTCATGCTGAACAAATCCACTTAGTACTTCTGGAATGTTCTGGAATATAACATGGACTAACATGCTAATAATTCTCAGATGTTCACAACCCTAAACACCTGACTTACTTGTTGCCCACCCAGCCTGAGGCCTGGCTAGCCATTCCTTCCTTTCTATTTCCTCTCCCTGGATGGCAGGGCAGCTGATACCTCCCCACATTGTTCCTGCACCCCTAACTGGCCTCTTAAGGCTATTCTAGTTCTGCTTTCTATGTCCCTATTGGCCATAAATTCAACCATCAACTCACACCCATTTCCCTTTGGTACTCCTCTTAGACAGGGATGACCAAGTGCCTGGATTCCTTAATCTGAACCCATCAAGACCACTGCACAAGTATTACTTCAAAACCCTGAAGACCAAAGGCCCGGGTGGGGGGTAAACTGAAACTTAGCCCCAAATCCTTGACCCCTGTCTCCCCCAGCCACTTGAGCTTAAGTGCTATTCACTTCAAATACCACCATTTACCTACAGGCTCCACGTCTCAACGTCACTGTGATCTCTATTTATGCACTTTCATTCAGCTTCAGTTATTCTGGTCCCAACTCTATCATCTCCTATCTACTTCATGGTAGTCATCCTCTTAACATCCTACCCAACTCCAATTTCTTTCTTTTTTTTTTTTTTTTTGGTTTTATGAGACAGGGTTTCTCTGTATTGTTTTGGAGGCTGTTGGTCCAGCCCGGCCTCGAACTCACAGAGATCTGCCTGCCTCTGCCTCCCGAGTGCTGGGATTAAAGGTGTGTGCCACCACCGTCTGGCCCAATTTCTTTTAGAGCAAGTGCCTCCTCATGATGCTAACACACTGACTCTCCATGCATTTTCTCACAGTTTATTAAGCATCCTCGTGTTCATAAGCCTCAGTTACTCCCTACTGCTAGAAAAATAAACTTCAGAATCCCTTGTCTGCCATTCTATGCTAATGGTATCACTTAGGCTAATATAGACCCTCTTCACCAGAATGAATCCCTACTGTCCCGTTAAACAGGAGGCTGTGTCTCTACTTTTGTTTTTCTTTCTGTTGAGACTTCCTTTCCTAAAGTCCAAACTAAGACTGGTCATTCTATAATGGCCCCACAACCACTGCAGCCTACTGCAGCTTTTATAGCAACCAGTTCTTGGGATGGCATATCCTGTATTGTGTTTATCTTAAACTTGAATATGGGTAAATATACTGGTATACTTACTACTCCAGTAAAATTGTTACATCGATCAGGGTTTATACTAGTTTTGTATTTCATCTATGTACTCCCCCTAGGTGACAGAATTCAAGTAAGATACCTATGTGGAAAACTGTATGAATAAAATGTCATTAAGACAACATACATACTGTGCATCTTGTGTGCATGTGTGATTGATATTAACGGTATGTGATAAAAAGAAATTACTAAAAACATGAGCTTATTAACTCAATTAATTCTGAAACATTATTAACTAGACAATGGAAGACTGAGAGGCAGATTCAATCTTGGGGCATGCTTTTTTAAGCAGTTAAGGGTGAAGGAAGGTGAGTCACAAAGTCCTTTCCAAGTACTGCCTAATTTAGCTAACAGTGTACCTCTAATCTCTTGGCAGTGCATAGTGTTCACAAACTGTGCAATTCACTGGAATCAGATGATGAACATGTACTGCTAAACCAAATATCAAGCTTTAAGTTGGAATTATATCCTGACACCAGTACCATCAGAATGTACCAGGACACATTATGTGTTGTGTTATTCCTCTTGCCCACTAGTGATTTCGGATAAAATCGGTTGTTCTACTTCTTTGAAACAAAACTGCCCTTCACGACATGACAAAACTAAGCTAAAATATTATTTTAAAAATTGTTTTTCCAAAAATAGAATACTCTTACCTTGTATAAACAAATAAGGTTCCCTCCACATCAGTCTTCTCCTAAAAATAAAGCAAACACATACCATATGTATGTTCATTCTATGGCAGAAAACACGAACTTCTTACAGAATACCAGGGAACCACATGCAATTTCGAGCAGGTGAAGTGGCAATATAGAACAGAGGGGCTATCAGAAAGGGGAACTACGGGCTTTGACGTGACCAGGGCTTGCTGAGTGAGCAGTACACGGTCACTGTTCTCTTTCCCAAACACACTGAGTTGCCCTCATGGCTGGAGCAGAGAGTGTGCTCCAGACTTTATCAGAAAGAGATGGTAAGTGTGCGGCCTTCTCCTCCACCCACCTAACTGAACGCCCAGCAAGATGTCAGATTAACTTGTTATCTGCATCTCTTGTGTACAATGCCATATCTGGTCAATAGGAGAATCTTGATCTATCTGTCAATAACTGTGCTCTGACTGTTAAACAGACAAGGGTTAAGCTAAAGTCTTCAAATGAACAAACACCTTCTTGGCATGAAATACTGCAGAGTCACTTTGGCCAAAGACTTGAAATAACATTACACAGAAATATTACCAAGTTAGGACTCAAGAACTACCAGAGAAAACCTGGGGGAGGTGGTCAAGTTATAGGGCAATTATGAGTTCTCTGGCGTCCCTTCTACTTCTCCATGACAGGAGGGATCCTGTTCACCAACACAGCACACATGCAGTTCTTTTCTCAAGTAGTAATCAGATTACTGTAACTCAGAATTTCACGTGTGCTTTCGGTATTCACATCATTTAATTTCAGCATTCAATTATCCTACTTAAGGCCCCAGTATTTTATAATATTTATTACCCAAATAATTTAAAACTAAGTACTCTATAATTCAGATGTAAGATATGCACTTTAAGAAAAAGATGTAACATTAGAATAATGGATTCTAAAAGCACAGAATTGAAAGCACGGTCTTTTCAAGTAATCTACTTGATTACAGCTGTTTTCTCAAAGACTTGGTGCAGGAGGTTTTGAAGAGTGACTCCAGATGAGAAGCAGCAGTAACCTGGGAGTCCCTTGGAAATGCACATTCTCAGGCAGCTGAGCAAACCCATTCAGAGCTCAACTGACATAGCTGGCAAGCGTTTAGGCAATATACAACAGCTTCCGAAGGAAACTGTAAGAGCCAAGTACTTGGTACAATGAGCTACGCTGATGGGAGCTGAAGCTGGGATGAGAGGAGGGACCTATGTGCATACACTGCTGGGCTCCTTGGCTCTAAGACCAACGCAGTTTCCTACTCTGCACTATTAGCCTGTTCTCTTTGGAATGCGATCAGACTGTTCATCTTTTCAGCACACATAACCTAACTGCTTCAAATGATTTCCTTTTTGCTTGCAACAAAAATTCTCTTTACTTCAAAACCAAAAAACTTTAGTCCCTTATTTTAGCTTAGAGCAACCTAAAATCAGAATTTTAACTATAACTCCCATAAACGATTCTCAAATTCAAGTCTTGTTTAGAGTTTAGTTGCTCATGGGGAGGACTTATGGCTCAGTATTTACAATATGAGCCTAGAGTAAGGTTTCTGCCAGATCACACCAGGATAACTCATTTACTGTTCTGTGTCACCTTCTCCACTGAAAAGCTAACTTACACAATCACATCTTTCAATGAAAAAAAAAAACCCTTATTTTAAGAGCTCTTACTTGCCTAAAAGGAACTGGGGAAATGTATTTTGGTGTTAGAGCTGTGCTGGCTCAAACTGATTTTCAAAGGCAGCCAGATTTTTTTTTTTTTTTTTGCCTTTCTGTACAAGTGGTGAATTTAGGGTGTGGCAATAGTTAAAACAAGATTTTATTAGTTCTTCTCAAATCCTCCAAGTAAAGTGGACATAACATAGTAAGATCTCAGTTCTGGAGTATTTTAGCCTAAATTCTGAAAATAAAGGTGTCACACACACACACACACACACACACACATTTGGTGCTCAAAATAATAGAGTATAGATAATGCTGTTTCATAAATTATTAGAAGTAAATACACTGATACATCTTGAACAGTTGAAAGCAGTGTCAATTTTACTGAATATCCTAAGACAATGAAAAGTGGATCCACTTCGTCTTCTCGAAGCTGTCTCTTTCACAGCTGTCTCATCCAGAGTTCTGGTCTGACCCACTGTACCTCTCAATTCAGTTACCGTGATGCATGAGCAGGGAACTCAGAACTGCTCCAGAGAGAAGGGACTCTTGTGGTTCTCAGACATGCCTCCGTGCTCCCGTCGTTCACACGCTTGACTAGCTATGTCGATGCTCGCTCACTGCAGGACATTGGCAATACCTCTCTCTGCTTCTACTCTGCAGATGTTACCAACACCCTCATCCTCAAAGTTTCCTGACACTATCAAATGTCACTGGGGTGTGGGTGGGGGGAAGTCAAATGTAGTTGAGAACGAACGATCTGAGTGCAAAGAAACAGTACCAACAATAGTCTTTCATTGGTACTTAGGGTATTTCAGGAAAGGAGTCTTTCCTGGCAAAAAGGAGTAAATATAGTTCTAAAATTCCTATTCTAGTCATGGCACATGTGTGTGCCCTGGGAATTAGGTTGGAGCTGTGCACATGCTATACATGCTAAGCATATGCTCTGCCACTTCCCTTGGTCTCTTTTTACAGAAACTCATCCTCTGCACCCATCACTCCACATCTGAATACCCGATGTTGATTTCCAATGTAATAAGGACTCCTTTGCTCAGACCCTACCAGACTCCTTGCAAATATTTTCTTTCATTCTTTATACTATCTTATACTTCTGATTAAGTTTACATTCGAAAGGCTCCCCTCCAGAGATCTGAGTGATTGCACAGGGGGCAGCAGTGACAATTTCATTGCCCCCACTAACTGCTCTGCTGTTCGACTAGGTCTCTCTCCTTTGCCCAGCGACCACAGTCTGGAAGATTAGTACTTTGAAAGAATGACCTTTTACTGAATGAATTATTCCCTGTCTGGAAAAAACAAATCCAGAAGCAGGAAAACAAAACTCCTGTAAATAATGCATTATGACACCTCCTATGCAGCATTTGTTGGTATCTGGTACATCTCTGTGAGGCTTCTATGAGGTCTCTGTCACACAGGACTGGGAAGAGACTTTAGAACCTGCTACCCAAGGGGGTATGCTCCGTTGTACATTCGTGATCTTCACCGAGCCTCCTACTGAGTCAACGCACACCATTAACTTTTATTGGGTCCTACTCTATACTACATAATTACTTCCAACTACAAAATGTAGCTGTAGAGTAGTGGTTCTCAAGTGCTGGGTCGTGACCCCCGGCAAACCTCTATAGTTATGAAGTAGCAACAAAATAATTTTATTGTGGGGGGGTCACCACAACATGAGGAACTGTACTAAAGGGGCGTGGCATTGGGCAGACTGAGAATCGATGCTCTGGAGAGAAGCAAAGCACCTACCGTAGACTATCTTCACATAAATATACATGTTTCAGTGAGGGAACTCCCTTTACGTAAAGACCCAAATGGTAATCTCCTCTGGTGACCATGAAAAACTGCCTCAGTTAATCGAGGCAGGACCTGAACATTAGAACTCTGCACGTTTCCCCTTCGGGTTTGGCTACTAGGAGAACAGACACAAGTTCTTTGCAACTGTCCCAATAATTCCTGATCTTTTTTCACGAGTGCCGGGGATGGAACCCTAACCCTAACTCAGGTGCCACCTCTATTTCCTTCTTCACCCTTTTTGTGTTCAAGGTTCCCGGATCGTTCTTACTACAGCCTACCTAATGCTGAATTTGCTCAATAATGAAAGTTTTCCTTGCATAGATTCTAATGTTTGTTTCGGACTTGGCGAACACAGAAAAAAAAAAAAGCAAACAAAAAACATTTGAAATCCTTGCAAGCTGTTCTTCATAACCCATTGAACTGTTGTATTATGGCCGATGGTTCATACAGGTGAATAATATTTGGTACAAAATCATAAAAGAGGGGAAATTTGACACGTTTATATTCAAAGGCGTGTTTTATAAATGATATGAATCAATACCTAGGCCAGAACTAATTTGTCTCCCGTTACAATTCCATTCTAGTTGTGAGAGCAACTAAACTTCACCCAGTTACTGTAGGCTGGGGTTCGGTCTTGGGAAATGCACTGAAATGGTTAGGCTACTGACCATGGACTCCTACAGAAAGTCTGGGGCGTCCCACACATATACCCATTTCCTCTTTATTCCCCCAAGCTCGCTCTTAGGTGGGTGCCTGCCCTGCAGGTTTGACTCTGGCTTCTCGCCCTCGGCGAGGCTGGGCTTCCCTGCGCCCATCTAAGCTTGGGGCTCCGCTCTGCCCTCCGCGGCCGGAGCGCTTCTGTCTTCCGGCCTCGAAGCCTGTGCCGGGCTCGCAGCGGCGCCGGCCACACCTTCGGGATCCATCTTCCCCACCTGCCGGTGGGTCCTGCAGCCCAACCTCTCCAGGATCGGGTCCCCGCCCGCCTAGCCGTGCCCAGCATCCCCCGCCCCGCCCCGCTGTCCGCACGCACCCATTTGTTGGCCTGATGGAAGAAAGTGTACAGAGCCACCTGGCTGGCCACGTCCACGATGCGACTGATGCAGGGGTCGTGGCGCCGCAGGGCAGCCAGGCTGATATCATGCCCCTTCCCGGGCAGCCCACTAGCCGCCGTGGCCGCCATCTTCCCACCCGCCCTCTAGCCCGGCCTCCAGAAAGCCCCCTCAATCGACCGCCGAGCGAGCGACCGCAGCTGGGCGACCTTCCGGCTCTTGGGGACCCAGGCTAGGCTTCGCCAATCGACGGCCGGGCCCTCTCGCGGAGGATCGTTGCCCTGGCAACGAGAAGCCCAGGCTTGCTTTCCGAAGCCGTTTTTTTCCACTAGTTCTTCCTTCAGGAGCCTTCAAGCAGTGTGCATTTCCTTCTTGGATGTGGCCCACCCCTTGGCGTAGCTTTCCTTTGGCTTTTCGATGCCAAACCCAATCAAACATAACACACACACACAAAAAGAACAACTCTGGAGGTTCTTAAAGGATGCACCCCCAAAATCCGTGAGGGATTCCTAGAGACTCTCAGAAGCCTGCAATACAAAGACTGTCCACGGCAATGCTGAGACATGTGAGGACCGGTGCACCGATACTGAACCATGCCCCAAACTGTACCACCGGTCAGGGTATTTTTGCTGCTGCGCACCAACAGGAAAATGACAAGCAGCTAAAGCCAGGTGTCACTTCATAAAATTCCCAATTTTGTTAAAATTCAACCCTGGGTATACTTCTTAAAATAATGTGGGAGAAATGAAAGTATGGATAAAGCAGAGTTGTTGCACGCCGTATTTGACTCTAGGAAAAATGTTCTGTGTTTGAATTTGTGGTTGTATTGTTGGGTTGGGGGGGCTTGTTTCTTGAGACAGAGTCTAGCTATGTAGTCATGGAGGGCTTCAATCTACCCCCATTCCTGCCTTGGGGCCTCCAGTACTAGAATTATCGGGGTGTGCCACCACCCAGTCCAAGGGTTTTATTTTTACTTCCACAGAACATTAGTTTAGCATGAAAGAAAGATACGTGCACTATGGTTATTCAGATAGATATTGGACAGGCTTTTTCTTTTAAAAAATTATTTATTTTATCTTTTGAAGACAAGGTTTCTCTGAGTAGCCCTGGCTGTCCTGGAACTCACTCTGCAGACCGGGCTGGCCTTGAACCCAGAGATCTGCCGTGCCTCTGCCTCCCAAGTGCTGGGATTAAAAACAATGTGCCACCTGGCTCTGGATAGACTTTTTAAAAAACTAAGATTTTCCTGTCACCTCCAAGAAAACAAGGGATACTTAATGTTGCCAATAATAATTTTTGAGATTAATTTTAAGAAACTGGCCAAGACCTTGAAAGTGTTTCAAAACTTAAATCTTTTCTGATGAGATAAGTGGTGATATTGATGAGTGCACTTTAAAAACATTACAGTCTAATGGAAACTGTAGACATATGAAAGATCTCTCTCAGTGACTCAATGTTTTTCAGATAATAATATGGTATCTCAAAATCATGTATAGATAAGAGATCCATTCAAGGACAAGGTGGACCAACAGACTTTAATTGTCACAAAATATGAAAAGTTGATAGATAGAATTCCAGATAACTAGCCTTTAAGGAACTGAAATTTGTTAATTTTTGATATATTGTTGTGGTGGTTTGAAAGAAAATGGTTCCCAAGGGAAGTGGCACTATTAGAAGGTGTGGCTTCGTTGGTGTAGGTGTGGCCTTCTTGGAGAAAGTGTGGAGGTGGGCTTTGAGGTCTCATATATGCTCAAGATACTGCCCATACTCAGTTCACTTCCTGTTGTCTTTGGATCAAAATGTAAATAAGGACTCTCAGCTAGCTCCAGCACCATGTCTGCCTGCATTGTGCCTTATTTCCTGCCGTGATGATAATATAAGCAAGCCACCACAATTAAATATTTTTCTTCATAAGAGTTGTCATTATCATGGTATTTCTTCACATCAATAGAAACCTAAACTAAGACAGTCATCAAAGAATATCCACAGCTGCCTGAAAAGGGCATTAAAGATGTATCCCTTGTACAATTACATTGTCTCTGAGGCCAGGGCTTGTTCACATATGTGAAAGAAGATAATAATGTCAGCAGATTGTAGGTAGAACCAAATACAATCTCATTGTCTACTAAGCCAGACACAAAAGATATTTTTTAAAATGCATACTACTTTTCACACTTTGTTATGAGAAGATAATTATTTATCAGGAATCAAATCTATATTTAATAGCTTTATGTTTATTTTGCGGGTTTTTGTTTTGAGATGGGATTACACAGCCAATACTAATCTAAAACTCACTATATAGTCAAGGTTGACCTTGCACTCTTGATCCTCCAACTTGCAGCCACTCCCAGCTTACTATTTTCATTTACTTTTTTAAGTGTGATTATGCATTCAAGTGTATGTATTCATATGTGTGTGCAGGCACATAGGGATGCGTGAGAAAGGCAACAGTTGACATTGGGTACCTTCCATGGTTGCTTGCTACCTTGCTTTTTGAGATGGGGTCTCTCTCTGAACTAGCTCCCTTATACTTATTTAAAAAAATATAGCAATGCCTTTAATACAAGTGCTTAGGATATAGAGACAAATGAAGGCATGGAGCCTGGTTTTTTCAGAAGACCTGGATTTGATACCAAGCATCCACTTTTGGAGGCTTTCAACAATCTGTATTTCTAATTGCAGTGGATCTCAAGCCCATTTCTTGCCTCCAAGCACCAGGTATGCAGTGAACACACATACACACAGGCAAAAGGCAACTACCCACGAACTAAAAAGAGCGCATTAAAATAATATAATCTCTTTGTGTATATGGTATGTGTGTAGTGTGTATGTGTGCCTGTTGACATGTGTAAGTGTGTGTGAGCACAGACACTCGATCGTGCATGGCCTGCATGTATAGATAAAAGGAGGACAACCTCAGCGGCAGTTCTTACCTTTTACTTTGTTTGAGGCAAGATTTCTTGTTCACCACTGAATACACCAGGCTAGCTTGCCCACAAGCTATGAGGACTTTTCTGCCTCTGCTTCTCATCTCACCATCTGAGACTGGCTTTGTGGGGTTCAGGGGATCTGATCTCAGGTCCTCCAAGTGGTGTGATAAACACTTTTTCCAACGAACCATCTAGCCAACCCATTCTACTTTTATTATAAGTGAATGAATTCTTTGTAGATATCAGCTTTAATTACAGTACAATGGCATAACTCACATAAATGAAACTTCTTTGAGAGGATTCTTAATAATTTATAAAGTATAAAGTCTTTCAACTAAAAGGTTGACAACCATTTGCTTTGCTTTAAAAAACCCTAAGCCCACATTAATGAATTCTGACCTAATTGGTAGAAATAGGAGCTTAAGTGGCCTCTCAAAGCAATAAATGACAATAGAATTTTCATAGTTACAATTTTCTTTTTTATTGATGTTCATGGTTAAACTCCATTTTGAAATGTCGGTCTATCAAATATAAGTTTAGCCTCCCAGTGCAGGAGAGTACAGCAGGACCTTCCAGAAGCTTTAAACTGGGCTTGAGGCTCATGGGAAGTGTAGACATACATTCATATGTTAGTGTAATGGTTAGGGTTAATTGGCAGGCTCTAGAATCGCCCAAGAAAGACAGTGTTAGGTAGGTTAGTATCTGGGCACGCTTGTATCTGGGGAATTGCCTTGATGAGGTCAGATGGGGTGAGATGAGAAGCAGTCAGGTGGTACCATTTCCTGGACTAAGATCCTGGGCTGCAGAAGATGGAGAAGGTGAACCAGACCTTCATTTCTCTCTGTTCCCTGATTTTATATGAGATACAACTGGCTGCTCCAGACTCCTGGTGCCTTGATTTCTCCACCACTTAGTCTTGAATTGTGAGATGAGCTAAACTCTTTTCCCCTTCAGTTCCTTTTGTCACAGCCACAGAAAAGGAAACCGAGATGACTGGTATCTGATATTAACTAAAAATGTCATGAAATAATATTGTATTAGCCAAGGTTCTCTAGAGGGAGAGAACTGATTGGATAGGATGAGTGCTCCTGTGCTTACATGAAAACAGTAATTACAGTTGCCTCACATTGGAAGACTGAGAACCTGGTAGTTGCTCAGTGCTTGAAGCTTGAAGTCCCAACATGGCACTGAGTACCTGGGTGTCTGGGCAGCCGCTTGTTCCTTACTCAGCAATGGAACCCTGGAAACCCTGGTTCTCATATTACTGCCAGCAAGCAAAAGGAATAATAGCCCTTCTACCACACCCTCTTTATCTGGGCTGCATGTAAAAGGTGCTGCCCATACTTGGGCAATCAATTAATCAAGACAATCAGGAAAATTCTTCAGATGAGGCTCCCTACTCAGGTAATTGTAATTTGTGGCAAATTGATATTAAAACCAAACATCACTAATAGTAACTGTTAGAAATAAATACATAGATAGGTGGATAGCTGGACACACACACACACTCACACTCACACAGTTTTCAACATTTAAAAATGTTGACTGTGACTCTGTAAAGTTGATTTCATGATCTACTGAGGAATGTGACTTGCAGTTTGAAAAACAATGAAACCATGGTGTCTACACATTTTTTGGTGCTTATGGCCTTCTCTTCCCTTTCAACAGCCATACAAAGCTGACTAGACACTGTCCCAGGTTAGCCCATTAACTTACTGCAGATTCTACTAAGCTCTGTGCTTCTGGTCACATACTTCTAAAAGTAAGCTTGTTGCTAAAATTCCTTCCCCTTGGAGACAAACAACATCTACACCCTACTCATAAGGTCCCAACAATAGGCCAACATTTGATTCTGTCAAAGTTCACCTTGAAGAACCAATGAATTTATTGGACTTACAGAACATGGGTGAGGGGTTACTGGCAGGAGCATGGGTGACCCTGAAGCAGTAGAATTGCAAAGTTGTTATACAGCCTTGATGATGTTGGGGCATCCTCATAGTCACCAGATGAAGCCCCTTCATTTTATTCTTCCCTAATCTGTATGCTCTAGTCCCTTAATGAGACCCTAAGGCCATATGCATTAAGTAAAAATTGCATATAAATGATTGAGAGGAAAGGCTGAATGCTGGTAGATGAAGGGTCAGTGACCTTCCCTGACCCTTCTACCCAGAGGGAATGTCAATAATCCACAGGCCCACTGGGATGGACTCTCACAACTGGGCACAC